TGGCAGGCTCCCAGATGAGTGTGGCAGTTGAAAACTAAACCTTCTTTACTTTTTTTTTTCGGTGGCAGGCTCCCAGGTGAAAATGTGACAGCTGCAAGCTGCCTATTCTTGACGGTTTTGCGGTGGCAGGCCCCTAGATGAGTGTGGCAGTTGAAAACAAAACCTTCTTTCCCTTTTTTTTTGCGGTGGCAGGCTCCCAGGTGAAAATGTGACAGCTGCAAGCTGGATATTCTTGACGTTTTTGCAGTGGCAGGCTCCCAGATGAAAATGCGACACTTGCAAGCTACACCTTCTGTGGTTTTTTGCGGTGGCAGGTTCCCAGATGAGTGCGTCAGTTGAAAGATGAACCTTCTTAACCTTTTTTTTTGCGGTGGCAGACTCCCAGGTGAAAATGTGCATTTTTGCGGTGGCAGGCCCCCAGATGAGTGCAGCAGTTGAAAGCTGGACCTTTTTTTTTTCCCGGCGACAGGGTGTAACATTCGCTTCGGGGTCCTGGTATGAGGTTGTGGTATGAGGCAGGCCCTTGCGTAGCAACGTAGTGCGTATAGAGTTGTTTCTTCTACCAAGACAAGTTCCTGTTGCTGCAGCTGCGATAATGTCTAACCTGATCTGTTCTTGTTGTTTCTGGCAAGCAGAACTGGCGATGAGGGATGAATTTAACGTTGAGCTAAGGTGCTTAAACGTTCAAGATACCACAAAAGGTTTTGGTTCATTTTGACAGCAGAACGGTGGTCATGGAAGTCCAAAACATCTAAGGAGTGTGTAACAACTCACCTGCCGAATGGACGCCAGGGTTGCGGTGCAGCTTTTGGCGTGAGCCTCAAATTTTTGTGGAAGAAGAGGGCCGTTTTTGGCAAGCAGAACTGGCGATGAGGGATGAATTTAACGTTGGGCTAAGGTGCTTAAACGTTCAAGATACCACAAAAGGTTTTGGTTCATTTTGACAGCAGAACGGTGGTCATGGAAGTCCAAAACATCTAAGGAGTGTGTAACAACTCACCTGCCGAATGGACGCCAGGGTTGCGATGCAGCTTTTGGCGTGAGCCTCAAATTTTTGTGGAAGAAGTGGGCCGTTTTTGGCAAGCAGAACTGGCGATGAGGGATGAATTTAACGTTGGGCTAAGGTGCTTAAACGTTCAAGATACCACAACAGGTTTTGGTTCATTTTGACAGCAGAACGGTGGTCATGGAAGTCCAATACATCTAAGGAGCGTGTAACAACTCACCTGCCGAATGGACGCCAGGGTTGCGATGCAGCTTTTGGCGTGAGCCTCAAATTTTTGTGGAAGAAGTGGGCCGTTTTTGGCAAGCAGAACTGGCGATGAGGGATGAATTTAACGTTGGGCTAAGGTGCTTAAATGTTCCAGATGCCACAACAGGTTTTTCCTCATTTTGACAGCAGAACGGTGGTCATGGAAGCAGCCCGAGGGAATACATCTGAGTGTTGGTTGCTTGATTTTGATTTTCAGTACGGTGGTTTCACGTTGTGCAATTTTTCTTTGGCAACTCGGACCTGTTCAGTCGATGGTTTCATTTGTGATGGACTGTTGTTTGAGACTGATTTGATTTTATTTCTCGACGTGGCGTAACCCGACGATTAGCGCGGCGAATATATATATATGTCTATACATCTGAGTGTGCATGTCTCTTCATGATTGCGTAGTACGACGCGCGTTTGTGGAAGGCCCAGTACTGTTTGTTGGCAGGTGCAGCTGCTTAGTTGAAAGAAAAGCCGCAGGGGATCCCCTTGAACCCCGGCAGTCAATGTTGACATGCCGCGGACTTTTCAGAATAAATGTTTGATGTCTATCGAGGAGACCTCCCAGAATGAGAGCCTTTCATGTCTATTGATGTCTGTTCGATCGGTATTCAAACATTGACAAATTTCAACATTGACCGCAGGGGTCGCAGGGGATTGGGTGTGGTCACATTTTCTAGGGGTCTCTAGCAAACGAAATGAGAACGCAGAAATAGATAAGATGGGACGGAATTAATTACATTAGCAGAAAAAGCGACTAGAAGAATGTAGACGTAGCTGACACAGCATGCTGTGGTGAATTGTGGCCCTTGATACCGTCAGTGCGCACGATGCTTCAGTACAGATCTTACGTCGATTTCGTGCAGAGCACAGCTGCCCACACCACAAGATTAAAAGGCGTGCTGTGTGCCGTCATGCTTTTGGGTTCTCTGGCCCACCTTGCTTTTGTGACTTTAACGCTGACTGCAGGGGTGGCAGGGGACTTGGACTGGCCCAGATGTTATCATTGTAATGAGGAGCTGGAATGAAACATTTCGCCTGCAGCCATCCTGTGAAGGCTCCACCGACCTTTGCATGCTCTTCGAGAATATCCTTCACTATTTCCGATTGGCTACATTGTCTTTGCCGTGATGGGGCCATTTTTGGAATCGAAATATAGGCCCTATTTAGGGGTTCATGGTTTGTTCTGTGATAGTAGTTAGGCTTTGCCTCGGCTCTTTAACACCCCCTTTGACGGCAACCAACGAGTTGCGGCGTGACAGGGCCTTCAGCTCGCACCCCCACCTTTTCAGAGTTTATCTGGATAATTTTGATGAGCTATTAAAGGTGAACAAAAACCTGGCGGAAAGCTTGGAGGGCACGCCCTCCAGGGTGGTGATTGCTCTAAGGGAGGCCTATGCGGAAGCTGGGCTCCCAAGGCACCCCAAGAAAAGTACCCAGCAGGCCCTCAAAGCAGAGGTCCAAGGAGCGTGGGTGGACGGCGAGCTTGGAACTGTGGCAGCCAAGCCGTCAAAAGTCGCTAGGTATTTAGCCCTGGCGATTGAGCTGCTGGAACGTGGATCGGCCAGTCAGCGGGAGTTGCAGGTCATCGGTGGAGGCTTTGTCTACATCGCCATGTTTAGGCGACCTCTTTTGTGTGGGTTAAACCAAATTTGGAAGTGCATTGTTGATTTCCCAGAGTCCCAAATACAGAAGAGAAGACCTATTCCACCGCCCGTGGCCGCTGAGTTGGCCAGATTTGTTGGGCTGATGCCACTGGCCTTCATGGACCTGAGAACGTTTTACAGTAAAGATGTGACGGCCAGTGACGCCTCCAGCACTGGGGGTGGTGTAGTCATCTCCCGCAGCTTAAGTCCCTATGGGGTGGCGGCCAGCCAAAGTGTGATCAGGGGGGACCTGCCGGAAGAGCATGACTTCTGTCAGGTGCTTAGCATTGGCCTCTTCGACGGCATTGGCGCCTTGAGGGTGGCTTTGGATTGCCTCGAAGTGCCAGTTGTAGGGCATGTGTCAGTGGAGAAGGCTGAAGAGGCCCAACGGGTGGTCGAAAGCCGTTTCCCTGATGTGATCAAGGTTGCTGATGTGGAGCTGATTGACGACAATATGGCGCGATCGTGGGCACTCAGGTTTCCTTCAGTAGGGCTTATCCGGCTTATCCTTATAGGGGCTGGGCCGCCCTGCCAAGGGGTTTCAGGCCTGAACTGTGACAGGAAGGGAGCCCTACGTGACCAACGTAGCTGTCTTTTTGTTCACGTTCCCCGAGTGAGGGAGATCGTCCAACGCAACTTCCCTTGGGCTCAAGTTCACACGCTTGTTGAAAGCGTGGCTTCGATGGACAGCAAGGACTGTGAGAGCATGAACAGTTGCTTTGAGGATGAGCCCTGGTTCATTGATGCTGACGGGGTGTGTTTGTGTCATCGGCCGCGCCTCTACTGGACGTCGTGGGAGCTGCTGGAAGGAGAGGGAGTGGCCATCGGCTATGGGAGTGATGGTAGGCTCCCAATCCAAGGCGAGGTGGTCCTGAGCGCAGACAAGGATCCCGGAGACTACTTGGAGCCGGGTTGGAGCTTGATGAAGGGACGGTCTCTCCCCACTTTCACTACATCACGGCCCAGCAATACGCCCTTGAAGAGGCCAGCGGGGCTGAAGAGCTGCGAGGAGCACGAGCGTGAACGATGGCGAACAGATCTACATCGATTTCCCCCCTATCAGTATAGGGATGAGAATTGCCTGAGAAGCTCCAAAGGGGAACTTCGCATTCCCAATGTCAATGAACGGGAGGTGATCATGGGTTTCCCATTGAATTATACCTCCCAGTGCCTGCCAAAGCGAGACCATGGTACTAGCCACCACACTGACTGCCGCCTGACTCTGCTGGGAAACAGCTGGTGTGTGCCTGTCATCGCCTGGCTGCTGAGCTCGCTGTTGGCACTCAGAGGTATCATTGCTCAACTTCGACCTCAAGATGTTGTGGATCGATTAACCCCAGGGAAAGGGAGGAACCTGCAGACCTTGCTAGCTCGTCCTCCCATCAGGGGCAGCACTAGTAGCTCCCCCTGTAACCCTGAACTGGTGCGCAGGTTGTGCTCCTTGGTGTCGCTCAAGGGTGAGGACATTCTGCTTCAGGCAGCCACTGATGTTCCAGTGAAATTTCATAGACTACGGAGCAGCATGCCGGCACGCCTATGGCGATGGAAAACCGTTGCTTCCTGGGCATGGACGGGTTCCGCAGAACACATCAATGTACTGGAACTCCGAGCCGTGTTGACTAGCATCAAATACCGTGTTGAACATTTGAAACAGGCTAACCTGCGGTGCATCCACCTGGTGGACTCCCTGGTGGTGTTACATGCACTTACCCGAGGCCGATCATCTTCCAGAAAGATGAGAAGGACCTTGATGCGGATCAGTGCCTACATCCTGGCGTGCGGGTTGCAACCTTGCTGGGGGTACGTAGATACCCACCAGAACCCCGCAGATCGCCCCTCTAGGCGGGGGGTCAAAAAACGATGGGTAAAGCGGCCCCAAAAGTGACAGAAGCTCGCACCAAGGAAGGTAGGAAACAGGTCCGCAAAAAGCTAGGTAGCCTCAAGTCCCTAACAGTTCAACCGGTCACAAAAGCTCGTTATCAAGATAGCTTGGATAAGTTCTATGCATACCTCAGAAGGGAGTCCCTTCAGCTCCCAAAGCGCCGCGAAGCATTAGATGCCCTAGTGGGGGACTATATCGAGTACTTATGGTCAGAGGGTGAGGGCCGATCAATGGGGAGCAATCTGCTTGCTGGCCTGCAAGATTTAGATCCCCACTTAAAAGGGCACTTGCCTTCTTCGTGGCGCCTCATGAAAACCTGGTCTGCTAATGAGCTGCCCAATCGGGCCCCACCGCTCACAGAGAGCGTTTTGAGGGCGATGGTAGGATGGTCTATTTTCCACCAACACTTTTCATTTGCTTTGTCACTCTTAGTCGGTTTCTACACCCTACTTCGCACTGGCGAACTTTTGGAACTCCAAGCCTGGAATATACATATGATTTCCTCCACGCAACCGGCGGTCATTAGTTTGGGTTTGACCAAATCCGGCAAAAGGCAGGGGGCAGCTGAGAGCGTCACCCTTACGGAGCGAAGTGTTCTTAAGCTGCTGTGGTATTGGAAGCAAAATGTACCTTCCCATACTTTCCTGACGGCCAAGCCCCATATATGGCGGCAACTGTTTAGTGATTGTCTGGCGGGGCTTCAGCTCCAAACCTGGGGTTTTAGACTGTACTCGTTGCGTAGAGGCGGCGCTACTAGCCTGTTTGTTAAAGTAGGTTCCCTCGACAGGGTTCTTCTTTTAGGCAAGTGGACGGCTGTGAAAACTGCAAAAATTTATTTAAATGCAGGTTTAGCCATGCTGGCTGACCTCAAAATACCACCCCAGTCCCTCCGTCCGTTTCACACTGTGTTTCACAACTATATGCTTGGTCCGCCACAGCTTGAGCCATCCCTTCCACGGAAGCGAAGAGCAGGGGGACGTGGAAACATGAAATCTGGCAAGCAAAAGGTGAAAAAATGAATGCTCGGGGGTAGCATTCCTATTTCTTTGAAGGGTGTTTTTCTGTCTGAGGCCCAGGGTTGCTCCGGTTTGGCGGAGTCCTGGGGGACAGAAGGGGGATATTTTCTCCTTTTGGTTTGGCAAAGGATTAAGTATCGGGGCCCCTTATTCAGACACCCATTCTCTCATGTTTCTTCCGAATTCTTTTAATTTAACAAGAGCAGTCTGCAATGCAAAAGGAGCGTGGCGTGAGTGTTTGATCCTACGTTTTTCGGGATTAAACATGAAGCCACATTATTTCTTTTGCCATAGCTTTGGCTTAAGTTTCCACCCCCTCCCCCCCAAGTGGGGGCGAAACATGAAATCTGGCAAGCAAAAGGTGAAAAAATGAATGCTCGGGGGTAGCATTCCTATTTCTTTGAAGGGTGTTTTTCTGTCTGAGGCCCAGGGTTGCTCCGGTTTGGCGGAGTCCTGGGGGACAGAAGGGGGATATTTTCTCCTTTTGGTTTGGCAAAGGATTAAGTATCGGGGCCCCTTATTCAGACACCCATTCTCTCATGTTTCTTCCGAATTCTTTTAATTTAACAAGAACGGTCTGCAATGCAAAAGGAGCGTGGCGTGAGTGTTTGTATATACATATATACATATATATATACATATATATATATACATATCTATATATATAGTGATTACTATATGTATATATGTGTGTGATTAATAGGTACTATATGGTACTATACTAGGTACTAGGTACTAATAGGTACCAATAGGGATTGATGTTCATTAGGAATTCACAGGGATGAATGGATGGGCTTTGGGTGCAAATGTTCACACCAGTCCAGTGAATGATGGAATGATTTTCGCCTGGAGTAGGGGATTGGATGGTTTTTGGGAATGAAGATTAGCTAGATGAAAATTACAGGATGGGGCCCCCAAGATAGCTAAGTTGCCTTATAAGTGGCTGAATTCTATGGTTTATGGTAGATATAACGAACTAGTTAATGGAGGTTATATTGGTTTATAAACCAACTTATAACTGGGGGGGCCCATCCTGTAGATGTGCCTAATATTTTTTCGAGTTACTTAAGTGGTGTATTAAATCTGGTCAATCCATACCATGGAAATGGGAATGCAAAGAGAAGCGGGTAATCTGAATCCCTATGAAAAGGGGATGGATGACGATCCCCCAATATGGGTGTTTCATCCAACGACCATGGCATATATGATCACAAAAGCCTGCCAGTTGACCCTGGCACCCTGGTAAAACACCCAAATAGATCATGTTTATGGATGTAAATAACTCCCCCAAATATGGTAAGATTGGGTTTTGACACATGCACATATGTCTAAAGTTTGAATCTAAAGAATGTGGGAGGCTTTTTAAAAAAATGTGCCATAAACCACGGTTTTTGGTTATAACTTATCACTGGGAATAAACAAAATAATCTTGGGGTACAAGCGGGTGTCCCATACTTGTCTAAGTTCAAGACTAACGAATGCGTTTATAATGGATGTATCTAAAGGATCCTAAAGTTGGAGGGGCTATAAACATCTATAAACATCTATAAACTCTATTTAAAAAAAAAAAAACTATAGGGAAAGCCCCTACCTTGCACATTTTTCTGACTTTTCTGACTCCAGAAATCAACCATTTTATCAAGCTATGGCCACACCTGTGAGGTGTAGCTGATGATCTGATCTTTCGTGTTGAGTTTGGTCACCGTTGCGCCCTTCAGGACTTCGATGTCGTAGTCTTTGTAGAAGGATTCAGGTCTCAGCAGCAACCTCCGATGTTCGTTGCTGTTTGATTGGATTGGTTCAAGGGAAATTTTACAGGAAACCATAGTTTTTCCCATGAAGATCATGGGGCTTTCCTGTAAATTTGCCCTTAAACCAATCCATTGACTGTTGAAAGGGGGACAAGGGACATACTTATGTGGATTAGCTAAATGGTTAGTAACTGGGGATTTGTTACCCCCAACAAATCCCAATTATAATCCATTTACTAACTAGTTAACTCCATGGCCCATCTAAGTACCTCCCTCGAAAATGACGTGCGAGCGGTGTATATAAGTAGCTGTGAATATCTGTGAATGCTGTTTTCATACTCATTGAGTCGTAGGGTATATAATTCATGTTGAGTCCCAACAAACAACCATCGGCCAGGAATTGAGCTGGCCATCATGGAGAATCATCCAATTTGGTTTAAACCATGATGAATTTCCAACCACTTTCTCACTGGCATGATCATTCGATTCTCGGAAACGTATCCTCTGGTATTTCTTTTGAGTTGGTTATGGACAATCACACTTTTTACGAGGTAAAACCTCCATACATGGAGCATTTTCATGCATTTTCCATACCTATGTCAAATCATCGGAGGCCGGAGGGTTTTGTAAAACGCAAACACAAAGCTCAATTCACCATGTTCATCCGTATGGTTGCAGTTACCGAATGGGGTGGGGCTTGCTGTCCAGAACTGTCTCATTCCGAGACGTCCCCAGGAGCCAATCGACGTCCATCCCGGTCCCAAGGAATAGATGTCTGATGTCTACCCTCTGGCAATCAAACATAACAACAGTGGATTTACCCATTAAAAATGGTGATTTACCCGATGATTTCCATTAACTCATGGAAACTCCGCCGTTCATTTCGATGAGTTTCGCTAGAAAAACCTCCATTTGAAAAATTGCTGTTAACTACCGGGGGGTATCCCTTTCCCAATCCCAGCATTTCTGGATCCCTCCCCGCTATGTCGCTACGTTTCACCAAGTCACTTTTCCACAGGTTTGTCCAACGCCTTCGACAATTGCACACGGTCGTACGGCCTTGGTTCGTCGTGGAAAGCGCCTGCTTTCGATGTGAATGTCATGCAAGAAATGTGGTCTAAGAAATATGGCCAACAACAGGATCTTAGTCAATTTCCATACATCAAAAATAATTTGTATGTATGTACATATATATATATATATATATATACGTAATTATCTGTATGTACTGTATGCATATTTATACAAATAAGATCAAATAAGTACGCCTGACGATAGAGAGAGAGAGAGGGAGCGAGGGCGCGTATTAACTTACATCGCAAAAATCTTGGTGTATTTATCAATTACCTGGGCAAATTATAATAATTCACTAATCTGAATTAAGGCCATTTGGGGATGATTCCCCTTACTAATCATGATTTCCAGTGAGGTCGTAGTGAGGTCGTTATAATTTACCCAGAATTATGTCTTTAAATTTCCTCCATGTTCATGGGGTAAGGATCTGTGCAATGAATCCCAGCAGGCACTCAACCAGTCAAAGGATCCGGTCAAGCAGGATGTATTTGCACCTTCTCATCCCCCAAAAAAATTGGGAGAACAAGGAGCTCAGAAGACCAACAAGAAGGATAAAAGGCAGAGGTCATCTATCATCTTCTGCTGGTTGGTGGTTTCAACCCCTCTGAAAAATATTAGTCAGTTGGGATGATTATTCCCGATATATGGAAAAATTAAAAAAAGTTCCGAACCACCAACCAGTCTGGTTTTTTTTTAATTGGACACCCCAACTTACACGATTGAGGCGTTCAGGCTAGATGCGCCGGTGGTCATGGTTGAGCCAACTATCTGCCTATCCCGCATTTTCCCACTATACTATACAAATCTCTCTATTTATATATACATTTATTATCATACATATATAACAAACCTATGTATATTGTACAAATATATGCACAACATACGTGGTGATAATTTGTGGTTGCAAAATCAACAAAGAAAAGAAAAATGTATATATTTATATGTAAGTGTATATGTATAAATATAAATATATATATATATATCGACCGACCATACCTAGGTAAGTCTCTGCAGGCTTTGAAAACCTTGAAAGCAAGGCACAGATGGTTCTCTTTCGTCACCATCACCTCAGAGATCGGCGCAGACTTTGCATACGTGGTATGCCTGTCAAAGCCTCAAAATTCCTCAAACATCATTGCGATTTTGGTTGTATTTCAGGTTACCCTTTTTATATGTATATATATATACATATATATATATGCATATATATATATATATCTATATATCTATCTATGCATATATATATATATTTATATATATATATATCTATATTGGGCATTACAATGACAAGTACCCAATAGGAAAATCCCTATTAACCAAACCCGTCTTCACCGCCTCCCAAGCCGCACTGCCACCGCGCCGCGATCCGCCCGGCGAAGCCCTCCTGGCGCAGGGTCTCAGCGGCTGCCAGCGAGGCACAGCCGCCGCCCAGCAGCACGAAGCAGCGAGCGTCGTTGGAGCGGCGTTTGCCCATGGCTTTCAAAACCTTCTGGTGCTTGCCACCTGGTTGGGGTGGGAATAGAAGATTGGAAAAGGGGATTGAGTAGAGGACTATTATATATATATACATATGTATTTAAATATATACACATATATATATACCTATATACATATATATTTATATATATACCTATACATATATATATATACATATGTATACATATTTACATATATATATATATACATATATATATACATATATATATATATCTACATATATATATATATATATATATGTATATATACATATGTGTACATATATATATGTGTATATATATACCTGTATATCTATTGGACAAATCCACGTCTACAAATCATTCATTGTAAACAGTAAAACCCGGTTAAATCATCGGTTGAATCATCGGTTAAATCTACAATTCATTCCATTTACGATGATTTATACAATGTGAGGCCCCCAAGATAGCTAAGTTGGTTTATAACTCCAATAACTAGGGTTAATGGTATTTATGAACCAACTTATATCTTGGGAGCCTCACATTGTATCTATAAATCATTCATTGGTTAAATCCCGGCTTTTCATAGTTAAAGCATCGTAAACATGCGACAAAACCACCTTTTCTCACCATGTTTCATAGTGAAAAATTGAGGATTTCAAAATGTTCGTACCCCCAAATCATCCAGTCGTCACTAGTCGAACCAAGGGTGACCACTGGGGGATCCCTCCCAACTTTCTGCGGGTGCCTGTTGCTATCTCCGACGGCACAAGCGCGAAGACTTCGTCATCCTTTACCTCCGATCTGTACACTGCGATGCCGTCCACACTGGGACCTGCAACTGGTGAACCATGTAGCAACTTGCGACCAAAAACCATTAGAAAATAAATTCCTACGAAAATATCAGGATGGGGCCCCCTTCAGATAGCGTGAACCGTTGCCCTAAAAAAAGTTGCTGAATTCTATGGTTTATGGTAGATATAACGAACTAGTTAATGGAGCTTATATTGGTTTATAAACCAACTGACATCACTGCGGGGCCCCATGCTGTAGGTTTGTAAATTGTATGATTCTATATTTCTTGGTGCTGGGGATCATCTCATGTCCATCATGGCGCCATGACTTTTCCAAATAGAAAGATAGAAAACCTCGTTTGGGACAAAAAACAGTATGGGTTTCACTCCGCTATCTCCCCACAAATCTCCGGAAACGTGAGATCTTCTACAAACAGCTTGCAGAACCTTGCAGTGGTCTCCCACCCCGTGTATTTTGCTGGGTATATGATATACCCCTCATCCACTTCCCTCACAACAATATGGCAATATGGTCCCCTGGAAATCTCCCAAATAGATATGTTTACCCTCTGGTAAACTAACATAACTATGGAAAATCACCATTTTCAATGGGAAAATCCACTATAAATCACCATTTTCAATAGCAAACTGTTAGTCATTACCAGAGGGTATCCGTAGTTATCCCTCTTCCTTGAAATTCTTTGACCATCTTTGACCCATAAAAAACTTGCCAGACATTGGGCGTATCCTCACCCCAATAAATACATACTGGTTATATATCCCGTGAAATCCCCATTCTGTACACATAGAATGGTGGTTATATCCCCACGTTCCAGGTACTACACATATTTTGATGGTTTATACCACCCATGTATGGCAAAATTGGGTATGGTTTAGTAGAGTATTGCGTTACTCGCAGTACTGTATTCAATGGATTGGTTTAAGGGAAAATTGACTGGAAACCCCATCCTGTTTGAACAAACCATGGTGGACCCTGTAGATTCTCCATTAGACCAATCCAATACCCCAGCCATATAATCATTATTCATCAACATGTTATAATCACTATTAATCACTATTAATCCAATAAATTATACCCAAAAAATCATCCCATACTTCTCCTGGCCTCGCACCACCTGTCCTGTTCTCAGGTCGAAGCATGCGTCATGCAGTGGGCACGTCACCGTGGGTGCGGCGTTGCCTCGGCCGCCCGCGGAGCTGACGCCTTTGCGCAGCGGCGCGCCGTAGTGGGAACAGGCCGGTGAGGTGACGTAGAACTGGCCCTGGTGACGGTGAACCAAGAGGGCCGAGCCGCCATCCAACTTCACCTCCTTAGGTGGGGGAGGTAAATGATGAAATTGGCGCAACATGGAACAAATGGTTACCGTATTTTGATGTATTTTGCAGATTCTTGCAGTACATACCACGATTTTTCAGTAGATGTTCCGGAAACAAGAGCCATATGTAGAAAGGAACCGGATCATCCGGGATCTGAACCAGGCTTAGTGTTTACCTTTTTGTTTACCCAGCTACCATTCGGATAATTCCTCATCAAGCCAGGCATCCTTCATGCCGGCCTCTTCAAAGTCCGAAACCTTCCCAAGGCTCACACGCTGAGTCGTCGAGCAGCTCGATTGACTCCAGCCGTGACTCCCAGCCGTGAAGCTAACTACAGCCGTGAGCGTCACAGCCAAAGGTCTGACATCCCATCCTTGGAGAATCGTCTTCGATCATGGCACGGAGGAAAAAGAAAAAGAAAAAAACGCATCCTTCATGGCAAATTCATAAGCCTAACCTGAAATTCTATATTAGAATATCATAGACTATCATATAGAGTATATAAGGTACTATAATATAAGGTTTAGTTATCGATATACTATATGAATGGGTGCCCTCTGGTAATTTAACATAGCTATTGAACATGGCCATTTATAGTGAGCTTTCCCATTAAAAATGGTGATGTTCCATAGTTTTTTGTATGTTTACCAGAGGGTAATATCATAAATGGATTCCCGAAGTCCCGCCCTAAGTTGGTTTGTGAGCCACAAGGCCATCAAACCATTGTCGGGATCATGATCCAGGTTCTGGATCTCAACGCTCTCCTCAAGATGATTGGATTTCTACCCCCCAAAAAAATGGTTCATTGAAATTGTGTCTGGGTGGTGGTTTCAACCCCTCTGAAAAATATTATAGTCAGTTGGGATGATTATTCCCGATATATATATATATGTATATATATATATATGTAAAAATAAAACATGTTCCAAACCACCAACCAGGATGGTTCTTTGAAGTTGTTTTTAAAAAAACCGGTCAACTCGAAAAAAACAACGAAACCCCATCAACCCAGCAACTTTCCACCACTGGCACATCAACAGCGCTGGCACCGTTCCAGCTAGCCCTTGGCCGTGTCCGAGCCGGGGCCGTGCGTGCGAAACCGCGCGAAAGCCATCGTCGGCACTGGGACCAGGCGCTCATGGCAGAAGCCCAGCGCGAAAAGTTTCAACGGAGATCCAGCTCTGAGCCAATTTGGGCCAAGGGCCCGCGATTTTTTGAACCCCCCCACATGGGATATGGTGATGTATATGCGGAAGAAAACAAGAAGTTATAAAAATGGATGATGTAAGAGGGATTATATGGCATTTAATATGGCATACCAGTTCGAAAAATGGCTTTATGTGCCAGTGTATGAGCTACAAACCACCTACAAAAAACTGCAGTTGCGCATGGTTGGAGAGTTCAGCAATTCAAAGAGCTCCACCTCCAGTGGTGTCCGGTAGGATGTCAAAACCAACCAGATATCTTGGGTAATCCGTTCGTGGCGAATTTAGCATCCCGGGATTAGAAAAGACTGGTGATGTGGTAAATCTCTGAGGGTCAGCATCCATCCTTGGCAATTCCCCCATCGTTCTGGTTTTCACCAATTCTGTGAAGTCCAAGAAAGTGGTGCCTCCTTCACTCAACCCATCAAATCAGCCCAAAAATGGGGGGCTTCTTCAGTCATGGGAAATCCCCAGTCGTCACTGGTTGTTTCATGGCTAAGTCATCCATGACTGGATGGTATGGTCTTGATATGTCTTGATCGTCCACCCAAAAATGTCATAAATTTGAGCTGGAAATTTACTTATTGTCCATTTATAGCAAGAAAAATGACAGGATGTTCCGATGTTCCATTGATTCTCCATTTATTATCATTTATTGCTGCTTCTTGTCCATCCATTTTCTACCCGTCCCAGTTGGGAATGGTGGTACCCATGACAAAGCGGGTGTACACCCTGGGGCATCGCACTGTACCAAGATGGTCACCAAGCCCGACTGGTCCTGGATGTGACTGAAGCAGCCTTCGCGCGTCCGGGGGGCAGATGGTAGCAGGGTAGCAATGCACCTGGAAATCTAATGAAATCTGGTCACTTTTTTAGGATGACCATCTGGTTATGACATGTTATGACATTCACACTTCGCCATGGAAAGATCCACCATGCTATTAAGAACGGTGTGTAAACCAGCTATTTCGATTAGGGCCATGGCTTAACCATGGCTAGCCCTGTTAGTCATAATCAGGTTGGGTAGGTGATCGTCGTCGATCAAACCGAAGAATTCCCATGGCAGCCATGGCCGATCTGGACAGGTTCAGCTGCTGTCTGCTCAATGAAAATCACCCATTGCGGATCTGTCTCAAAATAGGGTCTACCCCAAAAAAATATACCATCTATATGGAACAATAAAATACCATCCTATATGGATGATTATTCCCAATTTTTGTGGAAGAATGAAAAATGTTCCAAACCACCAGCCAGATATAAGTAAAGTTTGAATTTAAGAGAAAAAAAATGTTTCAAATTTCAAACCCATGGATTTGGATGGAATACATGATGGAACGGATCAATTTAATAAATTGTCCCCTCATTTTCCCATCATGTTCCCATCATTTTTACCATGGTTCTCAAAAAAAAAACATGATTTGTCAATGGGAATTTCAGGATCCTAAAATGGAGGTACCTACCATATATAAGGCCTATATAAGGCCTATGTAAGTGAATATCACCACAAAATATTTGGTGCTGGGACAGCCAGCCATGCGCCCTGGCGCGCCTATGCCATCCTCGGTGTTCATCCAACTTTGAAGACCAGCTGGGAGCTGAAAGTTTTCCTGGAAAAGGTCCGGCCCCTTGAGGAGATCATTGGGGAGATCATTGCAAGGTGGTGCCCCCCCCAAGTTATAAATGGCTAAACAAATCCCATGAAAACTAGTTCGATATATCATCAACAAAAACCAACACGTGACATTGGACATATAAACCAACTTAGCTATGGTTTATGGTAGATACAACGAACTAGTTAATGGAGGTTATATTGGTTTATAAACCAACGTTCACATCACTGGGGGGGGCCCATCCTGTAGATCATTGGGGATATCATGGGGGAATGTGCCGACGATTTTTTTTCCCAAAAGCATCTCCGATGCTTGGGTTCTCGTTTAGTTGCACTCGCCGCGGGGGAGCGAGACTGAGTGGTCGACGGAGATGTGTTGGATGGAAGGAAGGAAAAGGAAGGAAAAGGAAGGAAAAGGAAGGAAAAGGAAGGAAAAGGAAGGAAAAGGAAGGAAAAGGA